GAACGACCAGCAGCCTCGGCAGGCGAAGCCGGGCGTGAGGGGAAGGGGGGGGCTGCGTGTTTCCGGAAGACGTGGCGGCTGCGGCGGCGGCGGTCGGAGCTCCCGCTCTTTCGGCGGCTTCCTTGGACCTCTTTCGGCTTCCCCCTTAGAGAGCTCCGGGGCTCCTTCTCCCGCCGACACCATGATTTCCCTCACGGATACTCAGAGTGGGTGAAGTGGAGGAGGAGGAGGAGGGGAAAGAAAGAAGGGGGGGATGCCGGGAGGGCCTCTGAGGGGCCGGGGCCGCGGTTCTGAGGGGGATTTGCGGGCGAAAAGAGGGAGGATTGTCCCGGCGAGGGAAAAGGGGGAAGCTGTGACCTGGGGGCTTGCGTCTGGCTCCTTCATCTCAGGCACGTCTCAAATCAAAAGTGATTAGCAGGAATACTAATCAACGGCGAACTGTTTAATATAGTGATCCGTGAGGGGGTAGCAGTAATGCGTGGGTGTGAAAGTTGCCCTGGCACACTTTTCACCTTTTCTTTCATTCCGGGGCTATATAGGGTTGTCGGAATGGCCCCATGCATGATATCCCCACCCTTAAAAAAAAGGAACCATAAAGGTTTAGCTAGCGAGAAAAATTATGATTAGCTCGAACTGAAGAAAACAAGTGAAGCGTTGGATGGGTGGGTGGGCGAAATGGTCAAGTTATATACTTCCTTTGTGTGAGAGGTCTCTTGGGAAATGTAGTTGTTGTGGGGGGTGAGGGACAATGATAGGTTGGGAAGAGCAGAAAGAATGGGGTGGTGGTGGTAGGAGGTGGATGTGGGGAAATGGCATATTCATTTAGACCAGTGGTTCTTAACCTTGGGTTACTCAGGTGTTTTTGGACTGCAACTCCCAGAAGTCTTCACCACCAGCTGTGCTGGATGGGGTTTCTGGGAGTTGCAGTTCAAAAACACCTGAGTAACCCAAGGTTAAGAACCACTGATTTAGACCCCAGTGGGCAACTTGTAGCCCTCCCGGTGTTGTCGGACATCCGAATCCCAACGTCTTTCGCCATTCTTTATGCTGGCCAGACTGAGGAGAGGACACTTGGAGGGCCACAAGTTGCCTGGTGCTGCTGTAGATGGATTACCCCTTGTTAGTGGAAAATGTTCAGGACAATGCATGAAGATAGATCTCTGGGAATGTATTAGCATAATAGATTAATGAGACTTGGGGGGGGGGGCACAAGAAGCCTAGCATTTCAAGAATATCAGTGGTTACAGGGTGTGGTTGTGATTTGGAGACAAATGACACTGGATATGGCTCTTTAATGAGAGTTGTCCATATTCCGGAAAAATGTGGTCCAAGAGCCAGCTGTTGTATGAGGAAATGGTAGCTGTCTGGTGACCCAGGACAGTAGTAGTTTGCTTATCTTGAGTAAATAGATGGCAATAGTACAGGTTTGTTGTTATTATTTTCTTTATGTTATGTGAACTTTTTGATTCTGAAGCTTTGAGTTGGGGTGAGTATGTTAACTTTTAAAAGTCACTACTGCTTGATATTCATGTTGTTGGTGCTCCCAGGGTTTACAGAGGCAACTTGTAATTCCGTTTCTGCATTGGGTGAAAAACTTAACTGACTTCTTTCCCCACCCCCAAATCCTCACCTGTTCATCCCACTTTGTAATATCCAAGAGGTAGTCCAACTAGTGGAAGGAGGAGGTTTATTTGGCCGTAATCTAGTGTGCACGAAACTTTGAAACAAACCCCAGGTTTTGTATAAATTATGTCAGATATCTATTTTTAGTTGGAATGGATGCATATGATTAGTGTTTCTTGATAAATAGTTTAATAGGCATAATCATTCCTATCTATGATGGCCTTGTATTTTCAGTGGAACAGACCAGTATTTCAACAGTTAATTTTTTATTCTAAAATCATTCCATTGTTAGACAGACAAGTTGTGCAAGCAGATGCTTGGGAGATTTACACAATTCATGTGAAAGTCAGAATTATGATGCAGTTGGAATATATTTAGAAGAGCAAATTGATCAGTATAAAAATCAAGCTAGCATCTGCTATGTTATATTTCTTAAAGCAAAGTTGTAACATTGGGTATAAATCCAGTTAAGGCTTCTCTGATGTACACCTGGCTTGTTATTTCAATGTGAATATGTGAGAGTTAAAGGTTCAGATTTTTTTTATATGGTCTACGGCTGGACAAGAAGAGGTGGCAAGAATACACAGAGGTATTATACCAGAAAGATTTAGATATCCAGGACAACCCAGGTGGTGTTGCTGACCTTGAGCCAGACATCCTGGAGAGTGAAGTCAAGTGGGCCTTAAAAGCGTGTCTAACAACAAAGTCACTGGAGGTGATGGCTATTTAAAATCTTAAATGGTGACACTGTTAAGGTACTACATTCAGTATGCCAGCAAGTTTGGAAAACTCAACAGTGGCCAGAGGACTGGAAAAGATCAGTCTACATCCCAGTCCCAAAAAGAAGAGGTGGCAAGAATACACAGAGGTATTATACCAGAAAGATTTAGATATTCCGGACAACCCAGATAGTGTTGCTGACCTTGAGCCAGACGTCCTGGAGAGTGAAGTCAAGTGGGCCTTAGAAAGCATGTCTAACAACAAAGCCACTGGCGGTGATGGCTATTTAAAATCTTAAAAGATGACACTGTTAAGGTACTACATTCAGTATGCCAGCAAGTTTGGAAAACTCAACAGTGGCCAGAGGACTGGAAAAGATCAGTCTACATCCCAGTCCCAAAGAAGGGCAGTGCCAAAGAATGCTCCAACTGCCGTACAATTGCACTCATTTCACACGCTAGCAAGATTATGCTCAAAATCCTCGAAGCTAGGCTTCAGCAGTATGTGGACCGAGAACTCCCAGAAGTACAAGCTGGATTTCGAAGGGGCAGAGGAACTAGAGACCAAATTGCTAACATGCACTGGATTATGGAGAAAGCCAGAGAGGTCCAGAGAAACATCTACTGTACTTCTTTCATTGACTACGCGAAAGCCTTTGACTGTGTGGACCACAGCAAACTATGGCAACTCCTTAAAGAAATGGGAGTGCCTGACCACCTTATCTACTGAGAAACCTATACATGAGACAGGAAGCAACAGATAGAACAACTGATTTGTTCAGAATTGGTAAAGGAGTACGACAAAGCTGTACAGTGGTGCCTCGCAAGACGAACGCCTCGCGGGATGAAAAAATTGCAAGACAAATCGTTTTTTTTTATCAATGTGGTGTCTTGCAAGCTTCTTATATGGCCGTGCTTCAAAAGACGATTTTCCCGAGTCCAGTGCCTCGCAACACGAAAAAATTTCATTCGTCTTACGAGGTTCCCATAGGAATGCATTCCTATGGAAAGCCGCTTTTCACAAGATGATTTTTTCCCAAGACAGCTCTTCTCGCAGAACAAATTACATTCGTTTTGCGAGGCACAAATGTATATTATCCCCTGGCTTATTTAACTTATATGTAGAATACATTGTGCAAAAGGCTAGACTGGAGGAATCCCAAACCGGAATTAAGATTGCGAGAAGAAATATCAACAACCTCTGATATGCAGATGATACCACTCTCATGGCAGAAAGTGAGGAAGAATTAAAGAACCTCTTAATGAAGGTGAAAGATGAGAGTGCCAAAAATGGTTGAAGCTCAAGAATTTGAGCTGAAGAATTTATGCTTTTGAATTGTGGTGCTGGAGGAGACTCTTGAGACTCCGCTGGACTGCAAGGAGAACAAACCTATCCTAAACAAAATCAACCCTGAGTGCTCACTGGAAGGACAGATCCTGAAGCTGAGGCTCCAATACTTTCGCCATCTCATGAGAAGAGAAGACTCC